TAGACTTATCAGTGACTGGACCTACTGGGCCAGCTGAAGCCCAGCCTGGCCCTCAAGTCCAGCTGACTGAGAATCTAAAGTTGGGTTTCTTTCTGTCTTAAATTTGTATTCAGTCCCAGATGTATTCCTATAGTCAACATATACAGGCCAAGTCCTTTGCAGAGCATTGGGGATATGAGGTGTATCAGATGTTCTCTCTCTCTCTCTCTCTCTAAGGAAGTGTGGGAGATATTCACATAAGCAAGAAAAAGTCACAGAGTATTACAGGTGCAGATAGGATAGATGTTTGTACAGATGAAAGGCTCAAAATGGGGAGAGTTCAGGTCCTGGGACAAGAACCCAAAGGAGGTGATAGAGGGGCATGCCAGGCTGAGGGTGCAGCATGAGCAAAGGCTGGGAGGCATAAAGGCCTGGTGGGTAGTTCTGTTTAATAGAGTGAAGAGTGAAGTGGCCAGAGGTGAAGTTAGAGAGGCCAGCAAAGGCAGTCACAGGAGAATGTGTCTGCCATGCCAAGGAGTTGGTTTTCATCCTTGAGTCAACAGAGACAGAATAATTTTAATTGAATTGACTAATACTATTAATAATTGAATAGTATTAAGCAGAGAGATCATGCAGTTATTTTTGCATTTCAGAAAGGTTGTTCTGGAAGTGGAATAGAGGATGAATTTGAGGTGGTGGGACCTTAGACAGGGAGACAATATGAATAAGGAAGAAGAGAGCTCATGGAGGTCCAACTAGAGCAATGTAGGAGGTGATGGGTATGAGAGATGGAGAGGAGGTGAAATCAGTAAGACCTGACTCCCTGAGTGTAGAAGTAAAGGAGAAGTTCAGGGTGAAGCCCAGGGCACCTGGATGATAGTGGTGCTGTCCACCCAGGTGGGGGAACAGGAGGTAGGGCATCATTGAGTGGGTAAGTTGAATTTTGGACATATTGAGTGAATATCCGTGAATGTTCATATATATCTCTATCACAATTTCTATCACTGCTCTAATGAGAGCATTTTATAAATACTTTTTCAAGTGTCCGTGTGTCCATTCCTCTTCCCCACCCACTATGAATTGCAAGCTCCTTGAGCCTAGGGATCTGTTTCTCACTCATCTCTATGGCCCCTGGACCTGGTACAATGACTGGTACCCAAAAGTAGGAGCTCAATAAGCATCCATTGAATAAGAGAATGGGTGTCTCCATGGAGGAATGACTTCAGTCATTCCCATCACTGAGTCCTCCTTGTAGTCAGATCTCAAATAAACAGATGATGCCTCCCTTTGAAAGAGTTGAGGGCGCCCCTTCTTCCCACTGCCATTGTGGGGCCCTGCAGTCTTGGACCAGGCAGAATGGGAACTGTCCAGAACTGGGACATGGATTGGGGTGGCTGAGGAGCCCAGGACAGGACAGGCTGTGGGACTAGTTATGCCCAGACCGGGTCTCCCTGGGGCAGGTACCCACACCTGGGCTGCTCATAGAAGGTAGCTGGGCAGGTGGAGGTATGTGTGGCTGGAGGAAGGGTGGCGCAGAAGGTGAGCTGAGGGGCCAGGGGATAGTCCAGGGGCAAGCTGACCACACCATCTGTGCCATCTGGCAGACCCAGGCCTGCTTGAGCCAAACAAGGCTACTGTTCCCTCCACCTAGGAGCAGGGCTTGTGACTCAGACCTAATGGATCCTGCATTGTCCTTATCAAGGAGGGGCTATATTTCTTGGAAGGGCTGGGCACCAGTCCAAGTCTTAGCAGGTAACATGAAAGCTACTGGGTGAGGCTGGGGAGCGTTGGCTCTGCCAGCTCACATGTCTCCTTCACTCTGACGTGGGGCCAGAGATAGAGGAATCACCTGCTCCCCTGCTCAAGCCCAGTTTTATGGCATCTCTGTTCTTACTGTATTGATCCTAGCACTTGTGTAGGGGCCCAGGGCTTTCTCGGTCTCTGCCCACTTCTAGGAATCCCCAGTCAAGACACTTCCTTGGCATCACAGTAGCTGCACACGTCTCACCTCACACCCTCCGCCCCCAGGCCCTCAGAGCTGCCCTGGGACTCAGGCTGGTGTGGGTATGTATCAGTGTGCTCACTTCTCAGATGGGAGCTTGTGTGCAGGCCCAAAGAAGGAAAGGATGCACCCAAGTTCACCCAAGCTGGCTGCTGGGCTGGGACCTGAGTGTGAGCTGGCCCTCACCTCCTGTTACTCAATTTCTTGTTCACTCTGCTCTAGCCGTAATGGACTCTTTGATATTTGCTTTCTGAGCATGTTAGGCTTGTTTCTATCCCAGGGCCTTTGCACTTGTAGTTTTTTGGTTAAGCAGGCTCTCCCTTCAGGTCCCTGCAGGACTTGCTCCTTCCTGGTCATGTGTCACTATCTAAAAGAGCTGCCTTCTTCCCTTTTGTCACTTTCTCCCCTTATACCACTTAATTTCCCTTCTATGTAACATATCATGTGTTTATTTTTCTAAACATGTTTAAAAGATATTATTTATTCTTTTTTATAGAGGGAAAGGGAGGGAGAAACAGAGAGAAACATTGATGTGTGAGAGATACACACCCCCAACTGGGGACTTGGCCTCCAACCCTGGGAATTGAACAGGTGACCTTTTGGTTCACAGGCCAGCACTCAATCCACTGAGCCACACCAGCCAAGGCTCGTGTATTTATTTTATGTATTTGTTGTCTGTCACTAGAATATAAGCTCCTTTAAAAAAAATTTTTTTTTAATTTATTTTTAGAGAAGGGAAAGGAGGGAGAAAGAGAGGGAAAGAAACATCAATGTGTGTTGCCTCTCATGTGCCCCCTACTAGAGACCTGGCCTGCACTGGTGACCCTTTGGTTTGCAGGCCGGTGCTCAATCCACTGAGCTACACCAGCTAGGTCTAGAATATAAGCTCCTTAAAGGCAGGTACTTACTCACAGCTGAATCTCTGGTGACTAGAACAGTGCAGAGAATAAAGTAGACACAGTGATATCTATTAAAGCAATGAACAACCCCAGATTGCCTCACTTCTGGTCAAGAACTCTCTCCCTGTATTTCTCTGTCCCCAGAGAAGCCAGAGCGGGGGAGAGTAAGGGAGGACTTGGCTCAGGCTAGAAAGAGGCAGCCTTGCTCCTTCGCCAGAGACACAGCAGGCACTCTGACCCAGGCCTGCCACCTGCGGTCTGGTGTGTGTCAGGGGCCTCTCTAGGGCTCTCACAGGATCCCGGAAGCATGGAATCTCAGGGAAGCCAATCTCTTGTGTGATGGAGGACTCTGCAAAACTATCTAACAATGAAACTGGTAGGAAGTGAGCTCCTCATCGCTGGAGGATGAATGACTTCCTGGTGGGGCTGCTACAGGAAGGCCTGAGTAAAAGACAGGAGACGGGCCTTGATAACCTTTAAAGTTCCCCTCCCTTTATCAGATAATGTTCTTGCTCTAGGACAGGGAATTATCATTAAATATTTGCTCTGCCTGCCTGAATAATGGAAGGATAGCTGCCACCTGCCTCAGAGGCATCTGATGGCCATGTAGGTTCCTGAGGGTCAGGAGGATCTCGAAGCTGAGTCATGGACCTCCGGCTGGGCTGGGCTGGGCTGGGCTGGGCTGCAGACCTGAGGCTTCTACTGGTCTGTAGGGGTGACTGTCTGCCTGCCTGGGACCCCCACAAATGGGTTATTCTTGAATGAGAATCCTTCCCACTGACTCATTTAACTATTCTCACAACTTATCTGCAAGCTTGAAATCTTTCTAAATAAAAAAGTTTTATTTTAACTTTTTATTGATTTTAGAGAGAGAGGAAGGGGAAAGAGAGAGAGGAAAAAAGAGAGAGAGACATAGATTTGTTGTTCCACTTATTCATACATTCACTGGTTGAATCTTGTATGTGTCCTGACGAGGGATTTAACTCACAATTTATATCAGGACGATGCTCTAACCAATAAAGCTCTAACCAATAAAAAGTTTAAAAAAAAAACACTGAAATTTTTATTCAAATATTTTTTAGGGAGGCCCTGATTCTGTAGTTTTAAATTTTTCCCTGGGAAGTCTAATCTGCAAATGGAGCCAATAACTACTGATCTAAATGAATTACAGAAATACATATGTAAAATCAAATTTTGTTACTCTTTTAATAAAATCAGAAATTCTTTGAAAGTAGACCACCAAATAGCTCATTCATATATATTGTACAAATATGGTGTAGTTTTAGATACTGATTTTTCTTGAAAAGAATCGCGTCAGCATTTAACCCATTAAAACGCAAATAGACAAAAAATATGAGCAAATTATGAGGGCATCTTATATTTTATTTTGCCCTTCCCCCACCCCCCGCCCCCATCAGTTGTGCCTTCATCAAGATGAAAGAGAGAAGAAAAAAGAAAAAGAAATAACAGGAAACGTTTCCGTTTCCCTTTATACTGGATTTCATGCTCTGCAAAATATTTTCCCATCTGCTATCACCACTCTCATCCTCCCAGCAGCCCTACGAGGCAGACAGAGCCAGAATCATCACCCCCATTTTGTGCATGGACACCCTGAGGCCCAGTTTAAAAAGGAGCTTTTCTGAGGTCACGACAGTGGTTGGTAGAGGCACATGGAAAGGAATAGATGACTCCAGCCCCTTTTCTCTGCCTACTGCCACCTTCCAGTTGCTTTTTTTTCCCTTTCTTCCTGATCTGCCTTCTCTCTCACCCGCAGCCCTGTCTTCTGACTGGGTTTCTCTGTTTTTCTTTTTCTACTTCAATTTCGGTCTCCCTCTTGTTCCAGGCCCCAGACTGGCATCAGCTTTGCAAATTGTTCAAACACTTCCTCACTTTGAAAATCTGCCAGCCCCACAGCCACGGTCCCAACCCACCACAACTCAGCCTCTCTGACCAGAGAAAGCTCTCACCAGATGTCATGGTGCAGAGATTAACTCTGGGTGACACTCCTCCCCATCTGGCCCCAGATAAGATAAGGGTAGGGATCAACTCTATAAATAGCCCCCCATTCTTGCCCCGGCCCAGGCTGCAGCTAGCTGAGCCCACGTCAGCCCCGGAACAACATGGCTCTCCGTCTGTGGGTGGTTGCCCTGGCCTTGGGTGCCCTTCTTGTTGTGGACAGGGGTGAGTTGGCAGAGCTTGGATTCTCTGTGGCTTGGTGAGCTGAGGGTAGGGGCAGAGGCTGGGCTTAGGGCACCCTGAGTTTTCAGTTTTCTGCATGTGAGTTTTTTTCTGCACCCCTCCACCATGGATGGGGAAAGCTGTGGACTAGGAGAAAGGAAATCTGGGTTTGATTCCTGACTTGGGCTAGAATTGCAAAAATCCTTTCTCCTCTTGGGCCTACATTTCTCCAGCTGTAAAGTAGGAGGTTGTTGTTTCAAAGCTGCACTGAGCAACTACTGGGCTAGAGATCAGGGAGGCAGAAGGGAGCAGGCCTATCACCAAGATGATATGAAAGTCTGCTGGCGGCAGCGGGGTGGATCCTGAAGGAAGCCTGGCCTGGGTCCTCAGAGCTTTCAACTACTCTGGCAGGCCAGTGCTGAGGGACTGAGGGCAGCCATGTGAGCACATGGGAGCCCTCTTCCTGGGAGCATTTGGCCTGGATTGAACACATGCAGCTGGAGTGGGGCCTCCTCAAGGCCTGGGGCGCCTCAGCAGTCCCACACCTGCTGTGCATCAGTCATGGTCCTGGGCCCTTCAGACATGTCAGTGAGCAAAACAAAGAAAGAACTTCCATGATGGAGCTTAAATCCAATGGGGTGGGGGGGGGGGGAATGGACAATAAACAAGATATATTAAACAGTATGTTAGAAGGAGATATAGGCTAAGGGAAAAACAAAAGTGGAGCAGGGTGATGGAGACTGGGAGGAGTTTGTAATGATAAATTAGCCGAGTTTTCCCTCAGAGGCTAATGTTTGAACAAACCTTGAAGGAAGTGAGGGAGCCTTGTCAATATCTGGAAGAAGGTTCCAGGCAGAGGGAACAGGCAGTGCAAAGGTCCTGGGATAGGAGCATTCCTGGAGGTCTGGCAAGGAGGCCAGTTGGAGGGGAGTGAGAGGCAGGGTTCAGTGTGATGGAAGGGGAGATAACAGAGGCAACCAGAAATTATAGTGGGTAAGGCCTTGAAGGCCAGTGTGAACTTGGCTTTTCCTCCGAGTAAAATGGGAGACACTGAAGGGTGTTAAGCAAAGTTATATGGTAGAAGGATCACTCTGGTTACTCTTGAGAACCGACTAAAGGGGGAAGCAGGGAGGCTGCTTAAGACCCTCCTGGACAAAGTGATGATGTTGCACGGCAAGTCCTGGCAGGACATCAAGGCCACTCACCTCATGGCCAGCCCCACACCCATTTCCCCAGCTGGGGGCATAGACTCACAGGCTGGGGCCTCAGAGAATGGGACTGGGACCTCTGGCTCCACACAGCCTGCTTACTCCCAGCCTGGCTCCTTTCCTGAGGACTTCTCCTGTTGGGAACACTGAGGAGGCCTGCCCTGGGGACCATTTCAGATTCCTGCCTTGGCTGAGTGAGGAGGAGATACCTTGGGCCAAGGTCAAGGGCAGCCTGGGGGTAAATACAACTTCTTCCCACATCTTTGAGGAAGAAATTCGACACCAGAGTTCTGAACTCTTCCCCACAATGTACTCCAGTGGTCAATTCCTGAACACTCACTGTGTGGGGGCATTGCCACATGGAGACAAAGACAAGGGAAGCCCCAAGAAGCTGAGGCCCATAGGATGGCAGGAGTGACCCAGTGGGACAGCATGCGGTGGCATGAAAGCAGCTGATATGGTCTGAATGTTTGTGCCCCCCACCACAAATTCATACACTGAAATCCTAACCCCCAAGGTGATGGTATTAGAAGTTAGGTCCTGAGGTCAGAGCCCTCATGAATGGGATTAGTACCCTTGTAAAATAAGAGACCCCAGGGAGCTCCCTAGACCATTCTACCACTGAGAACACAGTAAAAAGGCACAGGCTATGAACCAGGAACAGGGCCCTTGCCAGGCACCAAATCTGCTGATGTCATGATCTTGAACTTCTCGCCTCCAACACTGTGAGCAATTTTTTTTAATTGTTTACTTCTTTAAAGATTTTATTTTTTTTAGAGAGGGGAGGGGAGGGAGAAACAGAGGGAGAGAAACATTAATGTGGTTGCCTCTCGAGCACCCCCCATCCCCCGCCCCCAGGGAACATGGCCTGCAACCCAGGCTTGTGCCCTGACTAGAAATTGAACCAGCGACCCTTTGGATCACAGTCTGGCACTCAATCCACTGAGCCACACCGGCCAGGGTTAATTGTTTATTATTTTTTAAAATTATTAATAAGAGTTTATTTGAGCCAAACTGACAACATATGCTGGGGAGTAAGAGCTAAACGCCCCCCAAATGTTTGTTTTTTATAAGCCATGTAGTTTATGGTATTTTTGTTATAGCAGCCCAAACTAAAACAGAAGCTTAAATGCAGGCCTGCTCAGGAAACCCTGGGGGACATCAGGAATCTGAACCTTGAAAAAAGGGTACGAGTCAATAGAAGAAGGGGAATAAGGACATTTTGGAGAGAGGGCGCAGTACGAGCCAAAGCAGAGCCTTTCCTAGGAAGAGGAGACTGAGAATAGCTGGGGTGCGGGGCCAGGGAGAGGAGCACTACGAAGCGAGTCCAGGAAGAAGCCTGGCAGCAGCCCGCGCAGTGCCCCACAGTGCCCTAAACATAAAATGATGGAGCTTAGTGATAATGACAGGCAGCCATGGAAGTTTCATATTTTTTAATGCTTTTTTTTGCTCCTCTAACAGTTACCATGAAATACACAAATCTTATCACTCAATGAATTTTATTCAATGATTTTTGACACTGCATATAACTATGTAACACAGACCCCTGTTAATATATAGAACATTTCCATCTTTCCATGTCAAAAAAAAAAGTTTCCGTATCAATCCATCCCCACCCCCAGACAACCACTGCTCTTTATTCTACCATAGATTGGTTTGGCCTATTCTAGAATGTAACATAAAAAGTTTCCTTTACCCCCAGGCTGCTCTTGACCTTGGCACTAGGTGCCCCATCCACACAGTATGTACTTTTGTATCTGGCTTCTTTGGCTCAGCATGTTTTTTGGATTCAGCCATATTGTTGCATTATCAGTTGTTAGCTCATTTTTATTGCTAAATTGTACCCCACTGTATGTGTTTATCCATTCTCCTGCTGAAAGACATTTGGTAATTTCCAGTTTTGGGAATTATGATCTGGAAGGGTTTGGGGCCAGTGGGGAGACAAGGCTAGATTTGCATTTTGATGCCCCAACACCAGGCCAAAAGGGCATACCACAGGCCACTTAGTCTCAGTTCCCTTTCCCCTCTCTACCTTGAAATCTCTTGAAAAGCATTCACAAGAGAAGCTAAAACCACAGTGCCTTGTACATCTCTAGTCATGGAGAACTCTTCCCTTCTAGAGGCAGCCCCCTTCATTGAGGCATAGCTGTCATTGAGAGAACGTTCTGGAGCTCAAACCTACCTCCCTGAAGCCTCCTTGTACAGATCAACTCTCCCTTGGCCTCAAGAGGCCTTAGAGATTTTAGGAAGCATGCTGCTCTTCTCCAATTTACATAAACACCTTTCCTTCCACCTGTGATGTTAGACGTCTTGTTCCCTCATCCGCATCACAATTTACTCAGGTGAAAGCAATTCATCCAGACGTTGAGGGGCCATGAGGCACACCTGTGTGCATGGAAAGAGCCAGGTTGGGGAGGGACAGACCCATGTGCAAATCCCAGCTCTGCCCTTAACAAAATTGCATTGCTTTACCTCTGAACGTCCTTCACAGGTTAGTTGAGCTCCCCAAGAAACAAACTCAGATCTGCATGCAGTTTGTGAGGGAGTGCTCATGGGGTAACACCCATGAGGGAAGAGGGAAGTTGACTGCAATACAGTGCAACAGAGGCGTCACGCGGTCCTGCGGGGAGCTTTGGGGCTGGGGAGGCCCTTCAGCATTGTTCCGAACAGAGATGAGCGGTTCGGGCCATTGCACCTGGGTAGGGGATGTGACGTTGGGCGAGGTAACTCCATTGTCTGAGGGTAATTCCTAGGAAGGGACTCACTGTGAGTGGCCAATACTCTTGGCAGCTGAGGAAGTGATTGCCTCAGTCCTGTGGGTGGGATCTAGGAAGCAGACCACAGCATCCACTGCTGGCTCCTTTCCTCCATCACATAGGAGTGAGAGAGGTGGGAAGAGCAGTAAGATCATGTATTCTCCATGCTTGACACATACTAATGAAATGTTATTTTTATTATTACATGGGACATAATTCCAGTGGAATTTGACTAATAAGGAACAGACTGGACTGTTCCTAATTCTGGACTTTCTATCAGTTCACCTAACCCAAGGTCACATCAGCTTTCTGGGAACCCCACTGTCTGGTGACTTACTACCTTTCCTTGAAGAATTTGAGATTGGATAGTGGCTGGAACAGGTCCTCTGAAGAAGTGGTCCTCGGATGCTTAGATCTGGGGCCTAGAGTCAATGTCACCTAATTCTTGCTATTTTGCCTTTCAGAAGTGCCAGTGTCAGCAGAAGAGCTTGTTTTCTCAAGAATGGTAAGACAGCTGCTTGCAGTTCTGGCCCCGGGGCTGCTGTTCTGGCCTTCCCTCTGCAGAGGGAAGCCCCCCAACTAGCGTGTTTTTCCTTTACACCCCTGCTCAGATAACTCCCATGGCTCCACAGCGGCCACGGTGGCCTCCTTAGCCTGTATGTTCCCCAGGTCAGCCCTTCTAGGCTGAGCAGGCCCAGCCCTTTTGCCAAAGTCTCAAATTTGGCATCAAGGCACTCGAGATCTGCCCCAACCTGATCTCCAAGGCCCCTGCCAGCAGTGAGGTCCCCCTGCCCAGGCTCGGCAGGGTCAAGGGCGCTCTGCTTTGTATGGTGCAGACGGACAGGCCGTTAGGTTCAGGCCAGAGAGGTGACCCTGGCACACTGACTGGCCCTGTGGAGATGCCAGCCTTCCCCAAACCCGCCCCCCCATCATCCATCCCTTCGCTCTGATGCGTAGACACCAAGGTGTCCTTGAACTCTGACTCCACCTTGGCCATGAGCCTGATGTCCCAGTGATCCTGAGGCAGTGGGGCTGGCCTCCTTGAGACCCTCAACCCTCCCTTCACATAGATAATGAGAGGCTCAAAGTCACCTTCCCATCCAGCAGCTTCGGCATCTTCACTGTCAGCCCATCAGAATCTAGCCCCACTTGCTCTGTGCCAGATAAGGAGCCAAATACTCTACAAACATTATTTTAATTAACCCTATGTGAGAAGACAATAGTATTATTTAGAGTATTAGCAGATGAGGAAACTGAAGCTCAGAGAGTAGACAAAGCTCATCCAATTTCACACAGCTAATCGTGCATAACTCAGGTCTCCAGGGCCCGGGGCTCTCCCTGCTGCACCGCAGTGCTTCCCCAGCCCTATCCCGATCCCAGGCCTCGATCCCATCTGGACCAGCTCTGAGCCGACCTCAGGCCTAGCCTGGAACTCTTTCAGACTGAGCCTCAGTTAAGTCCTAAGCCCTGTCTTTTTCTCCAGCCTTCCCACATAAGGGACCAGATATGGCATGCAGGCCGAGGTGAGTTCAGGAGCCCCAGGGGAGGAGGGGCCTCCTGGGAGTGACCGGTGGTTCTCTCTCCTGGGGTCCTCAATGGGGCCAGCAGCAGAGGTTCCAGTTAGATCCTCTGAGGAGTAACGAACACATCCCTAGGAGCTTGGGAGCATGTACTCACTCCACACACTAAACACAGGCACGCACTTGGATGTCTGCATATTTGGGCTCAGCAGACACAGGTACACACTAATGTACACATAGCCACAGCCACACACAATTAAGCACACACATGCAAGCAAAGATGCCAAGGGATCCCGAGTGGTTGGTTTCCCGCTCACCGGACCCACTCTGGGGCCTTCTTGAATCTGGCTCCACCTACTGGCCCCTCTGGCTCCAAACAGAGCCCCTGGGTTCCTGCTCACTGCCTCTGAATCCCTATGCACCCCCTCCCGTCTTCTCTTTCACAGCCCGTCTGTGATCATATGAGGGAGTCTCCAAAATGTTCCCAGACATTCAACCTGGTCTGCGGCACTGATGGGGTCACATATGACAATGAATGCCAGCTTTGCTTAGCCCGGATGTAAGTCTACACCTCACTTCCTGTGTGTTTGCTTGCATGAGCCTCATCTCTTGTACATATAGGTCTGCAAAGAACAAGACTTGACCTGCCTCTTCCTTCACATACACTTGACCTGGGTAAAATCCTCCAACATCGCTGAGAGAATGAGCACAAGTGTAATTCATGCGCATGGTTTCAAGCAGAAAGCCATAGTTTGTGGGGGGTTGGGAGTGAGGGCAGAAACCCTGGGTTCTTTTCCTTGTTCTGGCCCAACTGACTAGGTGACCTCATTTGTTCATTTATTCATCAGCCAACAATTATTTATTGAGCACCTACTATGTGCTAAGCACTGGGGATACATAGTAAGCTAGACAGCATGACTGGCCTCCTGTGGCATGTGGTCAGTCTAAGAGGGGAGCCAAGCTGATGGTTAGCCAATTGCAGCATAGAACTCCAACATCTCAGAGGGGCGTGCACAGGGTTTTGTGGGTACATGACAAGGGCAGGGAAGACTTCCCAGCCCTGATGGATAAGTAGAAATCAGCTAGGAAAATGAAGAAACAAGGGAAGGGAATTCCAAGTGGAGAAATGAGTTTGAAAAGTTCTACAAGAGAAAGTTTGTATTTGAGGAAATACAAGTTGGATATGCTGGAGTGTAAAGTGTAAACGAGAACAGGGGAGAAGCAAGAAATGAGTCTAAGAGAGGTAGGCAGGGCCAAAACATGACCTTGGTATGTCTGATCACCCATTTGGTCTCATGTCTTCAGTAAAAAAGACCCTTGAGTCGGCCAGAGCCAACTGAAGTCATGTAAGAGAAGAAAGCCTTTGGAAGCTACAATGCTCTGGACAGATGTGCGGGAGAGCAGGGGGACAGTCCTAACTTAGAAAATGCTGGTTTCTAACTTGTGGGCTTGGGCAGTTCCACGTGCCAAGATGAGGAACCGGGGCGGGTGGGGTGCAGTGGGTTTGTGGGGTGGTGATGTCTGTGGACAGAAAAGCCTCTGGGACATCCCAGTGGAGATATGGCTACAGTTTAGGGGAAGTCTGGGCCAAAAATAGATCTGCAGCCATCAGCAGGCAAGGGTGGATGAAACCCCAGTAAGCTGAAGTCTCTAGGGGAGGGTTTGCATGAGAGAAATGCTGTAAAAAGATGTTCCCAGGCACCCCTGAGACCTGCCTTGCACCATACACTGAGTGGGTGGGTGGGACTCAGCAGGGTGTTTGGATGGACTGCACCGAGGTCCTTGAAGGGTATGTTACGGTTCCTGAGGAGGTGGCCTCATTCCTGTCTCCTATGATCCTAGAGAAACCAAAAAGGACATCCAGATCGTGAAGGACGGCAAATGCTGATCCCACAGGAACCTCATAAGCCAGGAAGCTTCAGGCTGGTGAACAGTGGTGGGAGTGGAATGGATGTGACATGAAATAAAAGATCAGCCCAACCCAGCCAAGTGGGCCAGTATCTGTGGGGGCCCTGGGGAGGTGGCTGTAGAGGTGGTATGGTGGGGTTGGCCCCATCCCCCTTACTCTGAATTAACATCCTCTCCATCACTTCAGTGCTCAACTGTCACATGTGCCCCTAGAGATCCCAGGTAGTTTTTTCCTTTCTGAGGGCTCTAACAGGCCAGCCCCTGGCTTAGAACTCTCTGCCCAGTGCTCTTGTGTGACTGCGGTCAACAACGTAAGCGAGATCCGTACCTTCTGCCACTGCCAGGGTACATGGCCCAGCTTCAGTGTCCTTTGAGAGGGTCCCACAACCCCTCATGGCTTTCTCTCTGGCTACCTCAGCACCCCAAGTTCTGTCTCTCTCACACACATACAACCACGGCTGATATCCAGGTAATGTACATGGTACAACTGCTCGTTAAAACCCTGAACTAGGTCTGTAACAGTTGACACAGGTACTGTCCGAAGCCCTTGCTGTCCCCCTCCTGCACCCTGGCCACCCACAGCAGGATGACTCCAGATCCTGCTTTCTTTTGGTCAACACCCACTCTGACTGGTTGTTAAATATGCTGACATTAGACACAACCCCAGGCACACACAGCACACATGCACTCACACAAGGGCCCACAGGAACACACGGCATTCAGAAATCTGACCACACAGGCCCCGGCCTATGGTACATGTCAAGTACTCACTTTAGGCCAAAGCCTATAGGAGCCTCTTGATAATGGTGGTGGGGGAAAGAGCGTGGGGAGGCCTGGCCAGGTGGGGGCACGTTCACCTGGACTCTGATTCCTGCTCTAGGGTGGGCAGATAAGGCAGAAAATTCTCTGTGGGAAAACACATGCCAAGGTTTGAAAGGAAAAGTGGGGTCAGGGAAGGCAGGAACCAACATTCCCTGAACCACAGAAATGGGAACCTAAGCAGGAATTGTAGATGGATTCGCCACCATTATAGGGACTGGGAGGTCATCTATAGGCCCCTCCACTACTATTCAGAATGGAATCTCCTGCTCTCCACCTGCATATGAATAAAGTAAGATTAATTTTGGCTCTGAGCGACTGAAAAGCTGAAATAACTGCGGCTTAAACAGAAGTTCATTTCTCTCATGTAGATGGACCTCATAAGCCAACTCCATGCTCCTTCTATATTGTTACTCTGCCTTCCTCATCAGTTTCTACCCAAGGCCCAAGACAGCTGCTCCAAATCCAGCCACCATGTCTACACTCCAGCACTCAGAAAGAAAGGGCAAGCTACTGCCTTTGAAAATGCTTCCCATAAGATGTACATATTAGTCCTGGTGGGATGGCTCAGTTGGTTGGAACATCATCTCATTCACCAAAGGCTGCAGGTTGGATCCCCAGTATGGCACATGTGGGAGGCAACCAATCCATGTTTCTCTCTTACATTGATATTTCTCTTTCTCTCTAAAATCAATAAACTGGGAAATACAGTTTTCAGCTGGTTGGTCACATGCTAAGCTGAAAATTAGGGGTTCACTTATTGTAGAAAGAGAGTGGATATTTGTGACATCTAAAAGTCTCCGCTCTAAGTGGAATGCCTGTCCTAAACTCAAGCGGCATAGCTTGGCCAAGCCTCTCAGTGACCACTCTCTCCCAGGCCTCCACTCACAAATGAGGAATCATAGATTCTGCTTGAGCAACATCCCACAGTGGAAAAAATGCCTAATTTCCTGCTTTACAGATGTGGAAACTGTGGCCTTGCCTCTGGAAACCACCCTGAAATATAGGTGTGGACCCCTACAGGCCCTATCTACAGCATGTAACTTTGCTGCTCCGGCCCTGGCTGATTTGGCCAAAAAATTCTTCAGGATTTTTCAAATTGTAAACAAGAAAACAGTTCCTCTCTGGCAGTGAAGCTGAAAGCTGTGCAAAGTAGGGACTGCTGGCAGCTATGTTTCCTACTTTGCAGGAGAAGCAGGATGGAGAATGATTCTGACATACCAAGACAGAGAGAGATTCCAGGCAGTGTTTGAGTTGCTGAAGCCCAGTTGTTCTTGAACTTCCCAAAGTTACATGGGATAACATGACATCCTGACAATAAATCTTCCATTTCAACAATGTCCTTGAAATTAAGTTTCTGGTTCTTTCAACTAAAAGAGGCCTAACTACTAGATGAAGAAGGGTTTCTCAGAGGAGGTAATCTTTAAGTTATGCCTTGAAGATAACTGGAAATCTAGGACTGAACAGTCTATGTGTGGAAGAAATCTTCCAGTTCTGTGAGGCTGAAGAAAATTTTGGGGGATCACAGAGCTCCATGTACTCCCCTGCGGTAGGGCTTATCATGTCCCAGGAAAGTGGGCACCTGAGAAGGGATGTTCTTTCCCTGTTCACAGGCTAAGATACCTTGTGGATGGGTGAGCTGTGTGGCCAAGCCCCAGTCACCACTCTGCACATCTGCCAGGGAGCCCATGCCTTAGGGCCTATTTTCTCAATCCTTAAATAAAACAATGGCTGCTGATGCTGTAAATTCCTGTGCTGACAGAGCTTCGGTGGCTGAGTGCAGCTGTGAGAATTTCACTGTTGGTATGTGTGTTCAACGATCATTCATTCATTCTCCAAATATTTATTAAGCATCTACTATGAACCAGACAATGTGTTTGAAATACACTGTTAACAATACAAAGAAGCTCCTTAACCCCAGGAACTTAGTCAAGTATAAAAGGCAAATATTAAATGAAACAATCCTATAAATAAATCATCACAGACTATGATACATGCTGTAGAAGAAAAGTTATGGCAAGCTATGAGAGGAGCCTTGATTTGTTCTCAGTCCATGGAAAAGGCATTGAGTTAAGTTTTGAAAGGTAAACAGAAGTTACCTAGGAAAGGGGCGGCAGTGGTGGAAGGGTGGCGTGGCGCTGTCCCAAGAGAGGAACAGCGTGTGCAAAGGCCCCTGGGGAAGGGGAGGGTACAGAGCATGTGAGGACCTGAGTGCTGACCACACAGAGCAAATAGGAGAGTGGCCCGAGATGAAATGGGAGAGGGCAGAGAGTAAGGACTTTGGCCTTTATTCTCAGAGAAATGGGAAGCCACTGGAGGTTTTTAAGCAGGGGACTGACATAAGATTTATACTTTATAATCATTCACAATGCTCTGTGGAGAATGAATGGGAGAGGACCAGAGAGGAAGTGGAAAGACCATCATGGGAGGTAAGGAGGGAGAGGAAGAGAAAATGAGAGAACATGCAACCGCGTCGGTGGGGAGGCGGTACAGTGGAGACTAAGAGCATGGGCTCAGGACCAACCTGCCCAGCTTGGTGTCCTGGCTTTGCCACTTACTCCATGACTTTAGCAAATTACCTCAGCCCTCTCAGTTTCCTCTTCTCTAACATGGGTTAGTATCTGGCTACCTCCTAGGTTGTTTGAGGATTAAACAACTAATACATCTAAAGTACTTAAAATAGTATCCGGCACACGGTAACTTTTCATTAATATTGTGACCCAAGGCGACACAGCTACTACATAAAAGTAGGTAAGTACTGAATTGCTCTGATTACAGCTGGCCGTGCACTGGGCCGGGCCCTGAGCCTCATCCACTTGTCCGCACCACCACCACCTTATCCTAGTCCGACCCACACAGTCCTAATTCCTGGGACTTCAATGATGCCCTCTCTGCCAAATAAGGTTAGCCTCAGAGTTGTCCATCAAGACCCTGTCACTGGGGCACTGTGCGAAAAAATGGGGTGGCTGCAGCTGCCCCGTTTACGAGTTCTAGCATGCAGGGCCACTTTCGATTTTATAAAATTACAGCTGGAACCACAGAGGCTTTTGCTTCTCATACCTCATTAAAAAAAAGTTTAAACACTCTTCTGCTTGCTGATGTGTATACAAACTGCTTAAAAATAAAATGGGCGGGGGGATGGGGAAGGCCACAAAACGAACAGGAAAGCCTTGAAGGAAATACAGACCTCAGGACAGTACAGTTGGCAGAAGTGCCTCTGAAGGAGCTCCTGAGAAGTTTACAGTTGTCCTCACCATCTGCCTGCTTCTTACTCATTCTGCTCCCCTCTCTGCCCTTCCTGAGCCACGATTCTCACCTGGTTTCAGGCAAAGGCTCAGTAATACTGGGTTTTAACCTTCTACAGGTTTGCTTGGGGACATTAACTACAGGCCCTGCCCCAGGAAGAGCCACCTGAGACCTCTTGGCTGTGGCTTTGCAGGGTCACTGGGAGGTGAGCACAGGGTCTGTGAACCAACGACCAAGCCAGCTGTTCCAGAATTAGGTCACAACGAGATACTTGGACTATTTAGTGCCCAGCACCTGTTTCAAGCCATTCCCAGCATTCCTGACTAGACTCAACCCCCGCTCCCCCGCCGCCCCAGTGCTTCTGATTTACATCTATGGCACTATGGGATCACAAGGGCAAAAAGGCCTCATGTATCTGAAGACAAAGGTGGACTATAAAAGCCCAAACTATCCAAGGACAAATGATAGCACCCAAGACCAAAAGGCTTGGAAAGACTGGCGCCCTCCCCAAGGTGGGCTGCTGGCCAGCACATCCACACAGAGACAGAAGGGGAAAACAGACAAGAGCTCTACTTAATATTGTAAAGACAATACTTGTTCTTTGAGAACAGGTATAGGAGAAGGAAAACTGGCAATTGGCCAGTTGTCCCCAGAAACCCTGGAGAAATCAGGTAACTTCTGTTCCAGATGGGGCAGAGCTGGTAGAACAGTTCTTCAGGGTGGCACAGCCTCTCCACCTCACCTCATTTGGCCAGGGCCAAGTTTGTGGACTGCAGCCGCTCCGTCTCCTGGCAGATGTTCTGCTCCACTGTGTCGCACTCGGCTAGGAACGCCTGAAAAGATCCATGCATGACAGTGAGGGTCCACTGAGAGCCAGCTAACCCCAAGGCTCTGTGCCCAGCCACTCTGGGGAGCCCACGGGTGACTGATTCATGCTGGGACGGGCTGTGCAGCGATGGCCGAGGCTTCGAAGGAAGGATAGGGAGGCAGAAGAAAGCACAGGACCAGGGTCTGACCATGCTCTAGGCCCATAATCCCCAAAAGGGTGGTGATGACAGAAAGCCTTGACACTACAACTGTACAGTTTCAGGGGACACTGTATATACGAATGTGTCCACCCCATCGACTCTCTAGTGACCTTCCTTCCCAATTAGTTTAAATTCAAATATAATTACAGGGACATGAAAAAAGAAATTCTCCTATGTTCTGGGTTCATGCTGAGTAACAACCAAAAAAAAAAAAAAGGCCACATATACTTCTATATCCTTCTTTGAAAAGATAAACACAGATACCAACATTTTACCCTTTGTAATGCTCCACCACACAGCTCACCTGAACCCTTTTCACCAAACCCTTCCTTTTCAGTCTACTGTCTTTGAAATTTTCTGGCAGAATCTATGGAAGAATAAGTTGACACACAAATAATTTTCAGTGAAAATTATGTAAGAACACAGCAGAATTACCCACAGTACACCAAATACAATAGGTCATGGGTCACCAATGTCAATGAGACATGAATTTTCAAGAATCATTCCTCTGAGTCTATATCCTCCAAGACCCCTCCATGGCTCTTAGCCTTATAAAAGCTCCCTTTGTTCTCCGTATCTGGACCATAGAAACTGATCTTTAACACAGACTTTGGTCTTTCACTGTTTCCTATGTATGGATACTACGTTGTAGCCATACCATGATCTCACTGTGGCAGGAAAAGCACCTTCTGCTTCTTTTTTATTCCCCCACCCCCAAATCCCAAACAGAGTAGTTCACCCTCAAGAATGAGGTATCAGGCTAGAAACATCATTATCATCATCTGTAAAAGGGAACATGGCATCAATGATTCCCAATAGCCTCACAAGGACTGGGTGTGATTGAATTCTACAGGTAATGAGCTCAATACCAGTAACATGAGTATCAGAAAGTGAAGCTTTGTTTCTCTGACCAAAAGACCATGGACCATTTGGATCCCAGCTTCTTAAGGAGTAGATGCTACTAGCATACATTAACAAAAATGACAGAAGCCCTGTGTTAGTGGGATGTGCCTAGAAATGAGGAATTCTCTTATCTTTCTGTGCTTCTACCCAGGACCTAGCCATGTCTGGCACATAGCAGGTGCTTAATATCCTCAAACAATAAGGCTGCATTAACTGAAAGAGTGAGACTGACTAAAATATAGTCAAAGGAAACTAGTTTTTCTCAGGTGAATATTTACTTACTAGTGTGTCAATCTCCTCCAAGATCTTCATAAACTGCTCGATTGTGGCTTTTACTCTTCTATCGAGTTTGCAGAGAGCTTCAGCTTGCAAATCCGTGGCCAGAAAGCCCTGTGGGGAAATAATGCATTCTTGCAAGGGTTCCTAGAGGCTAATGGAAAACTCCAAGCTGAGACACTGATGAAGCAGCCACACCAACTGAATCCACAACCCCCCCAGTAGGCTGGGCCAGACCTCAGACCTACAACTTCATCTCTTGGAAAAACTAGAAATGCTGGTCCTGGGCCAGGCCAAGCACTGTAATAGGCCACTCTATAATAACCCACTGGAGCTGCAGATGCCTCCTGAGCCCACGCTCTGGTGAAGCCAGAGTAAACCTACACAGAAGAGGCAGATGTCAAGAGCACGGGATTTAGAGTATGAAAGGCCTGGACTTGAATTCTGTTGCCATTTACGGGCTTGTGATCTTGAACAAGTTACTTAACCTATCTGTGCCTCAGTGTCTTCATTTTTAAAATGAATATTATGATACCCACACCCCATAGGGTTACTGTGAGGACAAAGGGGGAATACATGCAGACCATTAATATAATTCCTGACAGAGATATGTGCTAAGAAATAGCAGCACTTACATTAATTTTATTAAATTGTCTTGCTGTTTATTCACAATGCTTGGCCAAATGACCAGTAAGCTGATGACAACAGGGATCTCTGGGGATGTTTATCAAAGCCGGCAGTTACAGATGCAGATTTGACAACATGTAGTAAACATTAGCCAGCAATTCCACCTCAAACAATTTATTCTACCAAAAAATTAGAAATAATCAGAAAAGATTTATGTGTAAGCCTTTCAAAGAAGCATTACCAAAAATGGTAAAATAACATGTGATGAACAATACAGGATTGGTTAGATAATAAACCATGCTACCTTTACGGGTGATGAAATGTTATGCAGGTTTTGAAAAGTATGGTCATTTTTTTTAAAGATTTTATTTATTTTTAGAGAGACGGGAAGGGAAGGAGAAAGAGAGGGAGAGAAACAGATGTGCCAGAGATACAGCGATAGGTTGCCTCTTTCACGCCCCCAACTCAGGCATGTGTCCTGACTGGGAATCAAACTGGCAACCTTTTGGTTCGCAGCCCACAGCCAGGGTAAAAGTATGATCATTTTTAATGACCACAGAAAAATATTCAATTTTTTTATCCAATAAAAGAACAATTTACTGGGCTAAATGATGTTATACACACTTTGTAAATTGTTCTTTTACTGGACGATTTATTGGATGCCAGTTTGATTCCTAGTCAGGGTACATGCCTGAGTTGTGGGCCGGGTCCCCAGTTGGGGGCGTGCGAGAGGCAACCTATCGCTGTATCTCTCACACATCTATGTCTCTCTTCCTCTCTCTCTTTTTCCCTTCCCCTCTCTCTAAAAATAAATAAAATCTTTTAAAAAATCATACCAATTTTTTTAAAGACAGAAAAATAGATTCCTGGCTTCAGTAATGGCTGTCTTTGAGTTGGGGCCTTACAGATAATTTTTAGTTTCCACATTAATGCTCATACATTTACTTAAATGTTATATACAATCAGCATGTATTACTTTTGTAATTAAAACATAAGCATCATAAAATTAGGTCAAAAACAAATGATGTGGGGCTGTTTCTAATCCTTACTTGATTTCTGTACCCCCATCTCTAATACAAGAAATTGAATATGATGACCACCCCACTAAGATCTGGTCAAGTTAGACCTTCCCTGAATCAACAAAATGTTCTTTGCTTTGCTAAACACATTATATCAACCTAGTCCAGTGATTTTCAACCTTTTCCATTTCAGCACACATAATCTAATCACTAAAATCCTGGCCCTGATCAGTGTGGATCAGTTGGTTGGGCATTGCCGTGCAAGCAAAGGGTCGCCGGTTCAATTACCATTCAGGAAACATGCCTAGGTTGCAGGTTCAGTCCCTGGTTGGGGTGTGTGTGAGAGGCAACTGATCGATATTTCTTTCCCTCCCTTCCCCTCTGTCCAATGAGTGAATGAATGAATGAATAAGTATTAAAAATAAAATGAAATTCTGTGGCAAACCAAGAAATTTATTTTTTGCTGATCTGGCCAAAAAAAAAAAAGGTATAATTTTGATTCATTCACACCTAACAGCTATTGTTGTGTTGGCTGTTGCCATTTTTTAAAATTTGACAAGCTAAGGGAAAAGAGGTCAGTGCCCCCGATTAAACAGTCAAGTATTGCATGCTTTAAAAATTCTTGTGGCACACTGATTGAAAGTCACTGGACTAGACTGAGAGACGTTCCCTATCCTATTTCAGATAATACATGATCCTAAGATAGCAGGCGCTCTCCTAGAAGCACAAATTGATGCTGGCTGGGGTTTGAAAATAACAACTATAACACTTATAAAGCACTTAGCATGTCTCAGGCTTAAGCTACATTATTTAATCATCACAACAACCCTAAGAGGGAGATCTTACCATTTTCTTCCTTTTATAGATGAGGAACTTGAAACAAAGGTAGAAACAAACAGTAATAGAAAGGGTAGAGAGCCAGGATCTGAACCCAAGGAGACTGACTACAGAGCCTACCCTTGTAACATACATTTGTATCTCCACAAAGTTTTTAGAGAAGATACACAAAGTTCATGAACAGTTACCTGCTGGATTCCACTAAGTTCTTTATTCAACTCTTCCAGTTGGTTAGCTATCTTTTCCACAGACTTCTCCAAATCTTTCAACTTCTTCAGTTCAACTTCTTCCTCTGGGCTGTTCTAAAATGTTTAAGAATAAAACAAATGAACAAACACAAAAAACAGAGCCCTAATCAGTGTGGTTCAGTTTGTTGGGTATTGTCCCACAGGGCGAAAGGTTGCTGGTTGGATTCTGGTCAGGGCACATGCCTGGGCTGTGGGTTCAGTCCGCAGTTAGGGGGATGCAAAAGGCAACTGTTTCATGTTTCTCTCACACACTGATGTTTCCTTTTCCTCTTTAAAAATAAATAAATAAAATCTTAAAACAAATAGAATGTTTAAGAATAAAATGAAGCAAATCGTCACCAAGAACAGTATCCCCCATCTGGAAAAAAGAAAGTCTGACCACAACTGGTCTATACCACTCACCGAAAAAATAGTCTTAACTCTGTTGCTTCTTGGAAAGCAAGCCGCAGGATAGACATTAGGTTTTCCATCTACAAAAACTCCAGACTAGAGAAAGGGTATTAGGTAACCATTCTGGCAAGGCCCTGACAACTTGGATTCAGAGAATGGAGCCAGACTCAATCTCAGCTTGGGTCTGATCATCAACAGCCAGTCTGATCTCTGGAGAGTGAACAAATTACAGTGAACACCTATGAAGAGTCCAGAATGGCTAGATAGGTGAAATTGTACTATTCTTTTCAATAGATTTCCAAAATGTCACCCACCAGCATGACAATGATGAATACTTTTACTGAGCATTCATTTCCTCTATGCCAGGCACTATCCTAAGCACTTTACCAGTATTACTGTTTTAAGCCTTACCAAAACCTAATGAGATAAGTAGGTACTATTTTAGATGGTAAAATTATGTTATTATAACCTAAGGTCGCACAGCCAAAAAGAAGTAGAGCTGAGACTTGAATCAGATTTGGCACCACACACCCCAGGACAGCTCCAATCAGGGGTCTACAGTTTCTTCAACCTCAACCTTTGGGTTCTGCCATTACCCATCACTATTCCCCTTTACCCTTGAGCAAGAAATCTAGAATACTTTCCCTTTTCTCACCTAAACAATTGATAGCCGGAGCCAGCATCTTCCTGCTTTTATACTATCCCAAATTATTCACATTCTTCTTTTTGGCTGAATTCACAGTGCCAGTCCCCTAGCAGATCTAAGTCTGGACTAGATTTTCTTTACCTCTACTTTGCTAACTTCACCCTCTTTCCACACTGAGTCAGCCACCTCACTCAAAGTGAGGGAACTTCATGTGACCAACAATTCCACTGTGTCACAATACAGGATTGGCCAGGGCCCTCTCATCATCCAAGAGCCTACTGCCCTCACCTGTCACCAACTGGCTCTTTTTCTCCACAACTTTTTTTTAAAAGATTTACTTACTTATTTTTAGATCAGGGGAAGGGAGGGAGAGAGGGAGAGAAACATTTATCAGTTGCCTCTCACATGCCCTTACTGGGGACCTGGCCTGCAACCCAGGCACATGCCCTTACTGGGAATCGAACCACTGACCTTTTGGTTGTCAGGATGGCACTCAATCCACTGAGTCACACCAGCCAGGGCTCTCCCTCAATTCTTTAGTCTGAACCTTTCTTTCCAGCCAAAGAGGTTTTTCCCTTGTGGGAGACTTTAGGAAAAAAGAGAGTTAAAGGAAGAGAGCCTAAAACTTGTATTTACTTTTTAAATCTACAGGTTTATTTTAATGAAATGTTCTCTTGCAAATCCCCCTCCAACTGAGTAAAGTCTTAGGCACCTTTTAACCAGACTAAGACTCTACCACCAACACAAAAGCTATGTTATTGAGGCAGTACAGCAGCTCCTAACTTCAGAGCAAGAGCCCAAGCCAACAGAAGCCAGAGGGCATAAGAACAACAAAACTGGTGATCCCATCAAACAAATGGAGACTACATTTGTTGAGGCAGTGCTTCACCAATATAGAATCTGGGTTCCCAATTTTGCCTTCTACACAGAAATATGCATAGAAGACTTCAGTCATTTGATTTTATTGTATTCTGGTGGAAAAAGCAATTTACCTTTTTCCCAATTAACATGACACGGCAACCATTTTGTATTCCAAGAGCAGACAATGGCTTCTCCATTTCCTTCAAAGATTTTCCTGAAGAGAAGGAAGTTATGCCAAGCTGTAACAATTGTACAAAACTGAAAACAGATTTCAAGGAGATAGATGAGTGTTTTCACTAAGGAGAAGAGAATAAGTTAGTATAACCTTTTCAGAAGTGTCTTGACTCAGTAATTTCACTTTAGTTATTATCTTAAATAACTGGACATGTGCCTGCAAAATAACTGTTACACACTAACTGTCAGTGCAACCTTATTCTTAATAGTAAGAAACTGGAAAGAGCCAAAAATTCAGGACTAAGGGGTGGATAAATTATACATCAGTACAATAGAAGACTCTGTAGGCATTAAAGCTCATTTTTTCAGCAAACTTCAAGACCACAATAAACTTTGATAACCAAGTGTTTCCTGGAAAAAAAGTTGTAAAAACTGTATAATCAATATGATTCTAACTGTTTCAACTAAACACACACACACACACACACACATCCACATTGCCCTGACAGGTGTTGGTTAGAGCATCATCCCATAACCAAAAGGTCGCCAGTTCAATTCCCAGTAAGGGCACATGCCTCAGTTGCAGGCCAGGTCCCCAGCTGGGGGCGTGCCAGGAGCAACCGATTGATTGTCTCTCTCACACATTGATGTTTCTCTCCCTCTCTTTCTCCCTCTCTTCCCCTCTCTCTAAAAACAAATAAAATTTTAAAAAAGGCTGAAAACCTTCTCCCTAAGATTAAGAACAAGACAAGGATGTCTGCTTTAGGGAAAAAAAAAAAAAAGGGTGAAATTTCTGCCACCCTCATGTAACTTCAATTTTAATAACTGTCCAAGTGTTTGGAAGTGTCCAGTACATAGTAGATCCTCAATAAATATTTGCTGAAGAAATAAATAAATAAACAGCAAAGTGTCCAATTTTGAAAACTGAAAAGTTACCATTCTTTTAGCCATTAGGGCTCAAAGTTGGAAGAGAAATGCCTACCCTTAAATATGAGTTTCTGAAAAGGTAGTGGGACCCCTGTGGCCTCTTCAACAACCTGGGCCAGGTCTTGGACAGTTGGTTCACTACAGCCTTGCTGCGGGGTGACATGTAGGTCATGCTTCTCATTGCCTGGGGAGAGAGAAAAGTGTTCAATTAAAAAAAAAAACAAACTCTTCCACATAAACCAATGTAGGCTGATACTTTATTATATTTAAGTATAGAGCCTTCTTCAGCTTTCAAGGTCCATTTCCTATGCAACCTACTCCAAACAGCAACCCCCCCCTCCCCACCATCTGCCCAGCTTTCTTCTGGTGACCTGGTCAAGGATTTTTGTTTCCTTTATTATAACTAACAGCATTAGTGATATCAGCTAATATTTAAGCATTTAACAAGCACAAGGGGCTAACTAGGCTCATTTTATGCATTCTCTTATTCAATCCTCAGACCAACCCTATGAAGTAGGTACTACCTATTATTCCCCATTTCTCAGATAAGCAAATTAAGTTCAGTCAAGACCTGCCTATGGAGGCCTGACTGTGGAGTCAGAACTTGACCTCAAATCTGATTCCAAAGTCCATGCTCTTTATCACAAGCCATCTGCCTCCTGTGGCCTGGCTGCCCTCTATTCTGTACTGTACTGGCCTTTATCTTCTTTGCTGTAATGGGCAAGGGTTTGTTTTTTTCCTCCAGGTATCTCCCATTGGGCACATCTGGGCACATACATGGTTGGTACTTGATAAATAGACAAATGAGTGAATACAGTCAAAACAGTAGAAAATTTCTTTTTGGAGCAGAGGTGCCACTTCTTTTCCAGGTATGTAAGCAGTAAGGAGGTAGCCTGTTTATCATGCATTAGGCCAAGCCTTGAGCCTGCTCAACAGACATGAAGTCAATATGACAGGTGTTAACAACTCTAATTCACAGAGAACAAACCAGATGCCTAGAAAGGAGACATCCCAAGGTCACTTAAAACTGTAGGATCTAAAATCCTGGCCTCCAGATTCTGAGGCCCTGAGATCTCCCATGATTGGTCCTGAGGAAACCTAATGGACTCAGTCCTCCATTGAACTGTTTAGTTCTGTGTCAACTCCAACAGAAGGAAGACCCAAAGGGTACCCAGAGTGTATGCCTGGACTCACGGTTCACTCAAACGGTGTACTGAGTTCAGACTCAACATACACATAGGTGTCCAGACACAGAGCAGCCATACACATGGCCGGATACAAGCCTGACACAAAGACCCAGAGTAACCGTGCAGGCACAGGCTTATACGCACAACCAGGACTACGACGTGAAGCACGACATCGAAGAGCAAACAAACGACCTGAAATAAAATACTGCGGCCACAGAGAAAGGAGACCCGCATGAAAAACCAGTCCCACATACAAATAGAAACCTTCAATTCCGGACGCCAGGTCAAACATCTGGACACGCGCTTCCGGAGAACACGTGGCCAAATCCCCAGACCCTGCCCGACTTTGTAGTGCGGCACGGAACCCACCCGGCCACCCGTGCTCACTGTGGGTGACGGTCACGCTGATTCCAGCTGCCGCCATTTCCTCACTTTGGGCCACCTCTTCGCTTAAGGCCACCTCTTCGCTCTCGGTCACCTCTTCGCTCCGGGCCACTTCTTCGCTCGAGGCCGAGTGAAGCCGCAGTTTCTTCTTCACCCGCGGCCTGCGAGCGCCGGCGGCGGCGCCCCCGGTGGATCTGACATGCCCGCTGGCCGTACTCCGGACTGATGGCCGCTGATAGGGAGGCGGACCGCGCTCGGCCGGGGGCACCGACTGACGCGACTCCCGGCCCGGCCGAGGGGCGCGCCGCCGGGGGCCCAGCCGACCCCGGTCGCCTCTCGGTCTCCGCGCGCCACTGCGCTCCGCCAGACCCGCACTCGTTGCTCACCCGGCGGTGGGAGCCAAACACCGTCCCTCGCAACCCTGCCGGGAACTTCCCGGCCGCTCCAGGCGCCGGCCTACCCGCCACGCCCCTCGGAGAATACCCTGCCTCTAGCCCGCCCTATACCGGTGGAACCGCCCCTGGGTCCCACCCACTCAGATGAGGCCCCGCCTTGCTGATTTGAAGCCACGCCCCCACAGCGCCAAACGTAGCCACGCCCCATGTCGACTCTCTATCCAGCACCTCCAAGCTCATGGAGCTCTCCTTCCCCGGAAGGCCGAGCTGAAGATCCGGAGAAAGGATCAGGAAACTCCAATAGACACATTGCATTTGCGCACTGGGAGCCGGAAGTCGAGGCAGAGGCGGAGGCTCTCTACTTCCGTTTCTGGTCTTTGCTCCAGTGTTTGGGTTTTCTTCGCGGCCGGTCAAGATGAACCGAATCTTCGGGAAAGCGAAACCCAAGGCTCCGCCGCCCAGCCTGACTGACTGCATTGGCACGGTGGGCGCTTTGACCACATATGACTAGGCTCAGAGCCTCTGAAACTCACCCCACCTACCCCTCCGGCTCCCGACTCCTACTCCTCCACCCCACTCCTGGTCCTGGGCCCATTACACCTCGGCCCTTTTCACTCCACCTTCGTTTCTGCCATTCAGGTCACTCCTGACGCCACAAACCAGGGACCCCTGACCCATCACTGTCTTTCCTAATTGGCACCCGACCTAATTGGCCACTGCCGCGCCCACTCGCTCTTTTATTTATTCCTTCAAACTAACTATCCGTAGGCCCGTACACCCTTCCCACCTCGTCCAGCCCGACCCCTTGCCTCTCTTTCGTCCTTCATCCCTGTCCCACTTTAGGACCCATAGCTTGATATTCTAGGTCAACAAACCTGTGTCCGGATCCTGAATCTCAAAATTTAGAACCCTGGTCCTGCACATAAAGCCACCAGCATTTAATCTACAGCCCTAGCCAGGGTCCACTGGACACCCCCTCATTTCACATACCTACTGGTTGAGTCCCCAGCCTGACTAGATTCTGATTCTAGAGAAATTGCAGCTTAGCCTAGTGAGGCTCAAATTATTTTTCTGCCCCAAACGCACTTGAAGGAGACCCTGGAATATGAGAATCTGGGAGGTGGAGTATAGGTTATGAAAGTCCCCCATTGTTTCTGTGGGAACCCCACCCCGCTTTGGAAACCACGGTTTTCCACCCTTCACCTTATGATTGTCTTTTTTTTTTTCTTCCTCCATAGTTTTTCCTTTCCTGCCCCTTATGTAAGTATATAGCTACAGCTTCCTTTTATTTTTTTTCTCTTCAAGGTGGACAGCAGAGCAGAATCCATTGACAAGAAGATTTCTCGACTGGATGCTGAACTAGTGAAGTATAAGGATCAGATCAAGAAGATGAGAGAGGGTCCTGCAAAGGTAAGTAGTCAGCAGCTGCTGTGACAGCCTAACTTCAGCACCTGTGGGAGGAGGGGTTGGTGAGAGATACAGAAGGCACGCTGACTGTCTGGTAAGGAGAAAACCTATGTGAGGGTGTATTTTTCAGGGAAGAGAGTTTGCAACCAGATATGAGAGGGAGACTGCAGTTTGACCTTTTGGAGGGAATACACTGCTCACACGTCCAAAATTGGGAATTAGCATATTCTACTGAGAAAGTGGCGATCTGGAGAGAAGGAGTGGGCCATGTTGAGGAATAATGAGTTGCCAGGCTGGTCATGTTAGGTAGGTACAATAGACTGATTAAGGAGATGCATCCTGGGAAAAAGTGCTGAATTAGGCATCTGGAGACCAGTGTTGTGTTATATTTATTTATAATTAATTTTTGTTAGAAACATCGATTTGTTGTTCTATTTATTTATGCATTCATTAGTTGATCCTTGTATGTACTCTGACCAGGGATTGAACTCAAAACCTTGGCATTTCGAGATGACACTCTAACCAACTGAACTACCTAGCTAGGGCCTAGAGACCAGTGTTCTACTAACACCTCTACTAACTACCTACTAGCTATAGCCTTGATAAAGTCATTTAATTTCTTATTTTCCTCATCTGTTGAGTAGGAACATAGAGTATGTATTAAAGTTCATGGACTGTGGATATGAAACTATCTTCTTTGCTTCCGTCTTTATAACTTACTAACCATTTGAGCCAGGGAAGTAACTTAGCATCACTGAACCTCAGTTTTCCTGTCTGTAAAATGGGGATGATACCTGCTTTCCCTTCTTCAGTGGAGGAGACAAATACAATGATTTATGAAACAGTATAGAAAGGGAAGTGACAAAGGGCTTTTCTCAGCCATCTTAGTTGATGACATGGAATGAAGAGTGACCAGAGGCAGGAACGCTCATCTAGACTTGAGGAGATGAAAGCCTTAAACCATGATGGTAGTCGTGAGAGTGACATGAATCAATTTGAAAGTGAGTTCTGAAAATCAGTAACAAGATGATTGGTCATGAAGAGACAACAGCGAGAGGAAAGGTAAGGATGATGTAAAGGTGTTCAACTTAGAGAAGTGAGAGACTGGTGAGACTGTTGCTAGTAATTTCTAAGGAGAGGGCAGGTTGAGGAGTTTGTGCATGTTGAGTTTAAATGGATAACAGGATGGCCAAGTTGGGAATCTCCTAAGGCAAATGGATATTAAAAAATCAGCACTGTTAGAGCTGGGGGTGGAACTAATATGCACTAGGAAGGAGGCATGCAGTCTACACGTGGAGATGTGGGATGCAAAGGCAGAGACGAGCTGAGGCTTAAAGACTGTGCTTGGGAGGTGAAGAACAATCCAGGAGCTACTATATCTGCTACGTTGAAGAAGAGAGCACATAAATATGTCCATTTTGGGATATGAGAGATTTCTTTTACCGTATGTATGTTTTCTAATTCTTTTCATTAAAATTTGTTTTTCTCCTCAGAATATGGTCAAGCAGAAAGCCTTGCGGGTATTAAAGCAAAAGCGGATGTAAGTTATGGGCACAATTTTTCTTTCGCAGGTTTGACCAAAAGAGAAATGATCTTCCATTTCTTCAGGTTTTTATGCCATTTTATAAGTATTTTTCATTTAATTACAAATTTTATTTACATATATAGTTAACTGAGTTTTCCCCCCCGTGTATTCCGCAACATCTGTTGTAGCACCATCTGTTTAAACAGCTGTCCAGTTCAGTAGCTCTTATCCATGGATTGCTGCTGAGCACTTGAACTGTGGCTGGTATGACTAGGAATTAAAGCTTTAATTCTATTTAGTTTTAACAATTTAAGTTTAATCATATGTGGCTGGTGGCTTCTGTATTGGACTGCCTCAATCTATATGGTTTGGTTTTCCCATTATTTATTTACTTAGAGTGCCTTTTTAATTTTTGTTTGTCTGTAAAATTAGGAATCTTATATATGTGTCCCTCCCACCAGAAGATTTAAGGGTCCTTAATTTGTTTTAGGTGACTATACCCCAGTGTTTGAACAGAAGCCAGATATTACCTTTGTTGCTTACCCTTGTGGGCTTCCAGCTGAAGAGACTTTCTGCAGGACTGTAGAGGTCAGATGTAATCAGCTACTAAGGAACCAGAAAGATTGTTGATGTCTCTTTCCTTATTTATAAAATTACTTTTGTAAGATATCAGATACCATCTTACTTCTCCTAGATTAGACAAAATTGTAAAAAGAAATGGTAATGCCTCACATGGTGATACTGTTGTCTCATTAATCCGTAGCATTAGAGGTTTTAATATAGCCCTGACCAGGATGGCCCAGTTGGTTGAGCAAAGTGAAAGATCACCGATTTTTTTTCCTGTCAGGGCACATGCCTGGGTTGCAGGCCAGTCCCCAGTTGCATGTGCGAGAGGCACCCAATTGATGTTTCTCTCACACGTCAACGTTTATCTCCATCTCTCTCTCCCTTTCCCCTCTCTAAAAATAAATAAAATCTTAAAAATAAAGATATATGTTCATTGTAGAAACTTGAAAAATACATAAACATGAGTTTGAAGAATATTTACCTAGATTCTTACTATCAGAAGTAACCACCTTTAAAATGCTGATTTCTTACCGTTTCTTTTCTATGCTTGAGCATACATGATATATAGGCACATAATTTTTTAGAAGAAAACAAATGGTGTATGATAGGTATCCATTTCCATTAATGTTACGTCATGAACATTTCTTTGTCCTTTTAAATATTCTTTGGGGACATTATACTTTTCAGTATTCTACTACCATTTGCCTGCATCATGAATTGACCATTTTCCTCCTGGTTGGATTGTCAGATGGTTTCCAAATATTGTATAAAGAATATAATGACAGCCCTGGCCTGGATGGCTGAGTTGCCCGGAGTGTCATCCCCGTTAACCAAAAGGTTGCCATCAGGGCACATACCTAGGTTGTGGATTCAGTCCTGGGTCTGGGCATATATGGGAGGCAACCAATTGATGTTGCTCTCTCTCCCTTCCTCTGTCTCTCTAAAAAGCAATGAAAAATTGTATTTGGGTGAGAATTAAAAAAAAAAAAAAAGAATATTAATGACTTAAGTCTTTGAAGTAGTGTTACACTTCAATATAAATCTTCATTTTGTTTAAAAACATTTTGAGTGTCAGGCATTATATTAGATCAGATTGGTTATCTAATTATGGATACAAGATTAATAAAATACCTGTCTTCAAGGAGTTCAGTCTACTGGAAAAATAGTTTCACTTTATATAGGAAGAGCCATAGAAATAGTCTTACCCTTTGCCCCAGAATTAATATAGTAAATAATGTAAAACATCATAAAGACATGCATATTAAGACTTTGTAGCAATAAATGTTATAATCTTAAATGGAAAATAGTGTTGTAACTGAACTACATACAAAAAAAAAAAAAACCCTGAAATACATCAAATGGTATTTGGTTGGAGCAGTGATTTTCTACCAGTGTGCCACAAGAATTTTTTTTTATCCTCATGGAGGGACATGCTTCCTGATTTTGGAGGAAGGGAAAGAGGGAGAGAAACACTGACGTGAGAGGGAAACATCTATCAGTTGCCTCTCTCACTCGTCTTGACCAGGGATTGAACCCACAGCCCAGGCATGTGCCCTGACCAGGAATGGAACCTGCGACCTTGTGGTTTATAGGACAACACTCCAACCAACAGAGCCACACTAGCCAGGGCAAGAATTTTTTAAAACATGGAATACCTGACTGTTTAGTCAGGGGCACTGACCTCTTTTCCCTTAGGTTGTCAAATTTAA